CTCGCGCAGAAGAATAGCCGGCGCTGATCCCAGCGCAGAATCCATTCTATAGCGACTCTAAGATATCCACCTGAACATGACTTTTCCTTCGCAGGCAGATTCTATCTACGCGATGCGCGATCAATCACTATCAATGGCGTTCGTTGTCGCCGTGGGTAGCGGGATTTGTTGGTTGACGGGACGTCGCTGTCGAGGAGGATACCGAAGCGCGCGCATAATGCGCGTAATAGAGTACCGGCCGTGTCGGTGGAGTCGATCGAATTTACATTACGATGGATGATTCGGTGGATCGATTCGGTAGTTCGAACGACGAAAGCAGCAGCACCGGCGTAGATCCACCGATAAAAGAACGATAATCCACCGCCGGGGGATTAACACGCCGACGATCCATTCCGGAGGAATCCAATTAACATCAAAACGTTGGACGACAAGTGTCTTTTCTGATCGATCGAAAACCACCGGCGGCGGGGACGCCCACTACTAGCTGGGAAAATATCGGGAGCGTTTCACCTTCGGTCGCGAGGCATCGGCGCTCGAACGAAAAATATTCCGGCTGTGATCTGATCGCGTAGATCGCCGATAATACCCTGTAACCCCGAGACCGTGTGTGACCCCGGTCGGGGGTAATTCATTGACTTAGTAACTCGGTGACTTTCACCGGTGATTTACACGAAAGCCTCATAAGCGGCTTGCCTCAGTTTCAAATTCCGTTCTCTCTCTCTCTCTCTCTCTCTTCGTCAATGAGCTCTAGCTTGCGAGACTGGGAGTCGGAAAGGGAGGGGACTACTATCAGAAGCTGCGGCATGAAAAGGAGCTAGACAGAGAGACGCCGAACGGAAGAAGAGAGGGAGAGAGAAGAAGAAAGAGTGAAACAGATGGGCGAAGAGGGAAATCGAAAGGGATGGAACGTTCGGGGGGGGGGGGGGCGAAGAGAGGGTGGAAAGGGGGTCGGGGAGAAGGTCGGAGAACGTAGCAAAGGTTATTTGCACCGAGTTGTCTTTTTTCAGTGCTTTTTGTTCGAACCGTTTGTCGAACGGCTCAGCCGGCTGATCTTCGGGATGATGAGCATGAACTACATTCTATATAAAACCTGCGAGTACTTTAAACCTCGTACGAATGCGCTTTCGCGGTGTGCCACGGCACGCCGAACGCAATCGATCGCTCTCAACCGACCGATGCTGGCAGCTCGCCCTTCGCTGATTGTCCGTGTCCAAAGATTTCCCTCGTTGACCGTCGCTAGGTGTGGTATCAAGTTCAATACGTAACTCACGGAACCGAGTTCGACATCTGAGAGCTTCTAACGCTGCAAGGTAACGAGTATACGTTGCAGTGTGTTCATTTCACATACCATTTCATACGTTCGTTTTGCGCGAAGGTGATCTTCGTCTTCATGGTTGTTGAAAAGTAATGAGTACACTTGCAATACATTCATTTTATGTTCCTTCGTTTTACTTAATGTATGTTCATACATTCGTTTTGTGTAAGGTAATATATATGGTTCGTGGTTTTCAAATATCTACTGTTCAAAATATAACGAAATACACTTGTACTTTATGTTTCTGCATTTTGTACGATTTCATCGTTCATTTTTGTACATTCGTTTTACGTATTCACCCCGTAGGTTGTAATAAATTTTTTCAAAAATAACGAGTACATTTGCAACGTGCTTATATTTATATTAATATCGTAAGTTTATTTTCTGCATCTATTCATCATAGTATACAATAATTCGTCTTCTTTTTGAATTCGTCGGTATTTCTATCACTAGATAGAAATTACTAAGAGGTAACAAACTTATTATCTGTTTCGCTTGGGTTACATTTCAACATACTTAAGACTGCGAAAATATTGCAATTTTGAGCCAAATATTCTCAACGTGCGTGTCATTCCATCGCAAGAGGTTAAAGAGTTTCAAAGTTCGTTCGTAAGAAGAAATTATTACTCCGCGTGGCATTGAAACGTCCGGCAAACGAAATATGTACTTGTCGGCGAACACCTGCGTTCTCTATTTTTTTTTCTTTTTTTTTTTCTCTAAAGCGAAACGAGACCAGCCGCGAGTAATCCTCGGCTGTTCGTTTCGTTCGGTGACGCGTGTAATAATGTTTAAGTGCTGCGTTACGTTAATTAAATCGGCGGGACGAGCGTGGAAGATAACAAGGGCGCAAACCGTTTGCTCGGTCTGCAGGTGAGAGTCAATGTACACGGCGAAAATAACAGATGAAACGTTTCGACACTGGTGAGACGTGGGTGATTTTTTGCCAACGAATCCCAAAGGCCGAAGCGTTCGAAGCAGTTTGAGCCGATTTATGCGGCGATGCTTTATTTACGAAGGTATTGTAAGCACGCGGCACAGCAAAACAGGATGCACCGCTGTTACTGGCGATTAATTAATTAATCGCGTGCATGCGTTTTTGCCCTGATGTCGTGCATCGATACGAGGCATCGATACGAGCGTTTCGACTTTCTTGCTCGATTAAAACGCCATTGCTGGAAATTTTTTTCTGCGGATATAACTCGAAGATGAAAATTCGCACAGAGTGCGAGGCATTGCAAGTACCTGTGAAACGACGACACAAGCAAAAAATGCAAATATGGTGATTCAGTCCGTTTCGCCACTTGTTGATGGCGAGTTACATCAAAGTAATTCGAGGCGAGTTTGGAGGCCAACGATTATGAATTACGAACGAGTGGAATTGATAATGGAATATCGAGGAGTTCTCTCTGGTATTGAGGCTCGATATTTCGCAATTCGTAGGTTACGTACTTTGACACACTTGAAGAAGACTAATTTGATCGTGACATTTATTAACCACGTTGATATTCAATATTCCTAGATACGATAAAATAATTTCTACAGATATTCACAGAAACATGAATTCGCACGAGAATCGTTCTACGACTCGTTTGCTTCCCGACATTTTCAAATGTCCCGTGCAGCCACGTCGTTCTATCGGCGACTGGGAAATTTCTTCGATCCTTCGCGTAAGGCTTCTGTGAAAGCTCCAAGGTGGAAACCGTTTAAACAGCGACGAAAACAAGCGCGCAGCGAGAACGAATGGGGACGGGGGAAAGAGCTTTTGGTTAACTTTCGCTGGACGAACGGCCAGACGTGAGGACGCGTGAGGATTTCGAACGAGCGTGCCGGCGGCGACGAAACGGGAGTTTACGAGTTGCGAAAAATAAGAAAGTTGGCCGGCCGGGGTGGGAGCCGATGCGCGTCACGTGCCGGCGTGTCGCGCGCGACAAGTCAATTGGTCAATGAGGAAAATTGGCTAAGAGTTCATGAATGGGCCGGCGTGAATAAAGTGGCTGCATGTTAGTATAGGTTTATGGAAGCAAGCCGGTTTTAGCTACGCTAATAGCATAGTAATGCTGGCTGATCTTTTCGAAATCCCGTAAGAGCATTAACCGCTCGCACGTGAGCAAGTTAAATTGCTATGTTGTGGGTATACGCCCGGCTATGTAGCTATCACCTGGCTACAGGGCGTAACGAAAGGAGGAGAGTATCGCAGCCGGGGATCGACATTTCGAGAAAAAGATAACTGGCTGACGCGTTCGTCGAACGGGTTCCTTTCTCCCTCTCCTCCGTCCATCCGTCCCCTGTTAACGAGATTAACCGCGAACGTTTCCACGGATACAGAACGGCGACGAAACGTTCCCTTTTTTTTTGCCACGAAACGTGACACTCGTCACGTATGTGAATCGTCACCGTCACGAGCTCGATCATTGCCCAATGTTTTAATTCATTCGCGATGACAAGTAGGTTCGCGAGTATCTTCACGTCGCGAGCGATACAGATCGGCGATCGGTAATAATACAATCTACGTACAATCGCGAACGTGTCCATTGGTTGGCGAGGAATCGATCGCGATCGGCGAACAACAGCCACGGGCAGCTGTGCTCGTCCATTTTCTTCTCTACCTCGAGTCTGTTGGCGTATCTTTTTCGCATAGGTGGAAGAAACAGGGTGAAAAGGAAACGGCGAAAGGGGGTGAAGAAGAGACATACAGAGAGAGAAAGAGAGAGAGAGAGAGAGAAAGGGAGAGGAACTTGGTGCTGGGATATATTTTTAGAGACAGACTCTCTCTACAGGCAACGTTGTGCGGCGAGGAAGCGTTGCCATCGTGGCTGGTTAGATCGGTGGCGCGGCCTGTACCGATTGGTTCCCCACTACTTTGGGATAGGTCTCGATGCCACGGCCCAGGCCACGCCGACTTTCCACGAGCAGACGCTGTTCGGCATTGTTCGTGGTTCCCTCTCGTTTCCACTACCATCGAGCGTAGAGTCGTTTCTCCTTCGGCTACCTTCACTCTGCTTTCTAACCGAAGCCAGTTCGTCCGCGTTCTCTTTCCCATCCGGATCGCCGATCCTTCTCTATCCCCGCGCAAACGCAGTTTCGACGGAACCGTTCTCGTTCCCTCGCGCCGGTCGCGCGAAACCCGCGCACACGGGTTCTTTCTCTTCATCACGCGCCCGTTCGTTCGTTCGTCCGTCCTTCGCCCGCGCTGCCGCCGCTGGCACCCCCTCTTCGGCAACGTTCGGAACGCACCCCATCCCTTCCGTGGTTGGATATCACCCCTCGCTCCTCCTCTCGACCGGTTCGCGGTCCGGTCTCTGCCGCGGCGAGAGCCGAGCGACCGACCGAACGAGCGCACCCCCCTCGGCGCATAACCCCTCGGCCAAGAGAGCGATCCGTAACAACTAAAGTTCTCGTGAAAAGTTGAGCTCGGCTCTCCTACGCCCTCCTGCTATAATAGCCGCGCTCGCTGCTCTCTCTACCTACCGTCTATCCCTGTCCATCTGTCCGGGTTTGTCCCACATCCCGCACACGGAACGACGCCGCGAGCGTGAGTGAGTGAGGAAGGAAGGAAAAGAGAGAAAGAGAGAGACACACACACACACATACACACACAAAACACACACCACACACACACACACACGTACACACACGTGCACACACATACACGTGCACGTGCACGTACACGTACACGTACACGCACACACACACACACGCAGAGACAGAGAGAGAGAGAGAGAGGGAGGGAGAGAGAACAAGATAGTGCGACGAACGAAACAAAGAGACTCCGACAGCCGTGGAACAGAGAACGAGTGCCGCGGGCAGAAAGAGAAAAAGACAGAGACGCGGCCGGATTAGGGAATAGAATAGTCATTATCGGTCTACATATTCGTGATATACTCTATCGGGCGTCCACGGTAGTGCGAAACGTCGCGGCGCAGTAGCGGCGAACGTGTGTGCTGTGCGACCGATCAACCACTGGAGGGATACCTAACCTTTGTTTTGCGACCGTGTCGAACGTCACCGTGTCGGCATCAACCGGCTCCACCTCCGGTATCCAGCCGATTCTTCGCCGAGGATTATCTGCTCCTTTTTTCGCAACGAGGAAACCCTTCGTCGACTGACGCCTTCGACTGACCATCGCCACGCACTACCGGTGAGTACTTTGTTTACCATCGTTCCGAGAACAACCCTCGGTTAGTAGCGTTCGGTTGCTCGGCTTAGGCGGCTGTCGTTTGGCAGCGTTGTTCCAAACTCGTCGAAACTTGGCCGGTGGCTCGTTGTGACTGTATATTTGTGCTCGTTTGCCAGTGATTTGTTCAGAAAGGGAAAAAGAGACGAAGAGGAAAAGGAAAAAAATTCGCGACGTGCGAGTCGTTTTGTTGTCGAAATTAGGTGGTGCGGAATCTCGCCGAACACTTACGCCGACACGAAGCGCGTCACGGTGACCAAGAATCACCAACGACGAGTCTATCGATCGGATGTTTACTCGTTTCGTAACAGCGACTGGGCTTCCCTTTGCGAGTAAGGTACGTCGGAATCTCGGCAATTTGCGGGACACGGCTAGCGAGGCAAGGTGAACGACGATAATTCACCCCTATGGCGAATAACTGCCGGCGTTGGAGCGACGCCTGAACGACGGGAATCGTAAGTCGACGAATACATATACATTTTCTCGTGAGATCGGACTGTGGCGTCGTCGTTTGTCTCTCGCGGCGACGAAAAATCTTCTTTCCGCAGGAGACGCCGCGTTTATCAATTTTTATGGACGTCGAGTTATCCGTACGATTACTTTTCGCGGTAAATGGGAGAGAAAAAAAAAAAAAGAAAAAAAAGAACGAGCGACAGCGAAGCCGGAGGGCAGGGGAAAACCCAACCAACGGAATCAACGAAATTCGGACGCTGCGGTGCGCAAAAACCTCGAAAATGCCGGCATTTAATCGGCGAGGCGTACGCCGAGCTTTCATTCAACCAAAGAGAGAATATAAATCCGCGAACGAACGTGGCTCCCGAATACGCCCCTGCAATATTCCCAAACAGCGAGAGAACTCTCTTTCGCCTCCCCCCCCCGCGCCCTCCCCCTCGAATCACGCAAAAAAAGACTGGAAAATTACACTGATTCATAAATAACTGCGCGTTGCAACTTTCAGCGCTTCGTGTATTTTTTTTTTTTATACGTACGTACATATACATATGTATATATGTATATAATACAAATATATATATTCGTATAACGTGTAGTCGTAAACGTAGTGTTCCGTCGAAAGCTTAACATTCCGGTTGCGTTGCAAAAAAAAAGAGAGAGAGAGAGAGAGAGAGAGAAAGGAAAAAAAGGATAGCATCGAAGAATCGACTCGATATTCCACAAAACGAAACAATTTACGACTAGCTTTGGTTTCCTACTTTTTTTTTTTTTTTTTTTTTTTTTTCAAAAA